AAGAAGCATTCCTTAGCTTTTTTATTTAACCTAAAAGTCAAACCAAAAAGTATCTTGAAATCATGTTTTCAGTCCTCTTCCAGTTACCGTTGCCCAAAGGATCACCAGGATCTTAAAGATTAGCTTTATTTTCTTTAAATTTATCAGTTTACTGCAGCTCATAAGGTAAAAAACAAACTTGCAAGACCTGAAAGCTAACGTGCACTATATTTTAGTGCCATTATCCGTAAGCCCCTTCTTTTGCTAAACTCTATACTCATCATTGTGTGTGTATTAAATACTCCTTTTTTTCCTTTATGTTTCCCTGGGCCTATTATTCATCTTCTATCTCTTCCATCAAATGAAAATCCACCACTGGTCAAATGCTAATTTAGTTAAATAACAAAACTGTAATTTTCTAAATACATTAATAAACTCATCAGTGTTAACAAACTACAAGAAAAACAAAACCCACAATCAAACCCTGTATTTGTGAAATACAAGTATTTCATCACATGTTTTTCAAATTAAACGTATTTATCTAAGGTATCTTGGCTTTTCCAGACCCATAATTTTAAAAAGAATCAATACTGAACAAATGCTTTTGTCAGAGGGCTCATATATTTCTAGCCTTCTATTTTCTGGATTGAAAATGCAAAGATTACCACTATCCTTAAATATTTTACAGTCCTCAGAAAGCAGAATTTAAAATAAATACATAATGCTGACTGTCTTTGTATCTATTTTTTTTTTTTTTCCGGTACCGGAACCGAACTCACGACCTTGCGCTTGCCAGGCAGGCACTTTGCCGCTGAGCTAAATCCCCAGCCCCTATTTTTTTAATTTATATGTAACACCAAGCATTGAACTCAGGGCTTTATGCATGCTAAGCACTGAGCTACATCCCTATCTCTTGTCAGTATATTTAAACTTTAAACTTCAGTAAATATATTTCTCAGCATGTCCCTCTACAATGCTTCATAATCTACTTATGTTATTATAACACTAAAAAAAAAAAACAAGGGCAAGTAGCCTCTGGCTGCAGGTTGGATATGCCTACGAGACTCTTAAGCTTCCCCAGCTATAAGAAAGGGATTATCAGACTTGGGGAAAAAGATGTGAATTTCAGAGTTAATACATCTTATTTCTTTGTAAGGCAGAATTTTAGTGTTTAGTAAATATTTCTAGTTCACATAAAAATCAAAATTCTGAATTTAATAGAAGATTAATTCTGAATTTAATAAATTAACGAACTTAAAATTCAAGTAATATACAATCTCTCAATTATGTATGATTTTTTTAAACATGAAACTTTAGGCCTGTACTCTCAGCTATGGAGGCTGAGGAAGAGGACCATAAGTTCAAGGCAAGCCTGGGCAATTTACCAACATCCTGTCTCAAAATAAATAAAATATAGCCCAGCACCAAACTGGTTTACTCTCTAGTACCACACCCCTTCCCAAAAGAACAAAAAACCAGAGAAACTTTGGTCTTTTCTACCTAGTTTTAAAGCCAGTTAACAACTTTGACAGCTAAGGCTAAGTGCTAACATCCTCCAAAACAAGTTAAAAAAAAACCAAAAAACTCAAAAACAATTCTCTCTTGTTTCTACACAAAAATTATGTATTTTACACAGGAATATATTTCACTAAAAATAATGGTGTTGATCATGTAAAGAAGTCTCTCTTCAAAACCATCACTAAACACTAAAACTGTTAAAATACAAAACAGTTAGAATTACTGCATGATCTAACAATTCTACACATTTACCCGTGAAAAATGAAAATGTATGTCCAAAAAAAATTGTATGTGGAATTTGTATATTCACAGTTAGTCGTAATAGTTCAAAAATGGAAACCAAAATCTCCATTAACTTATGATGGATTAATGTGGTTCATACATAAAATGGATTGTCCAGCAATAAAAAGTACTAAACACATCTACACTACAACATGGACATACCTTTATATTACACCAAATGGGAAAAAAACTTAGTAATAAAGACCACATATTATGTAACATTTTTCAGAAATATCTGGAATAGGCAAATTTATTAAGTTGGACAGTACTGTCAGTGGTGCTGACAATGAAGTTGCTGAAATTATGAAAATTTTTACAATTAGATTATAGTAATGGTTCCACAACTATGCAAATATGTTAAAAAACAATGACTTACATTACTTCAAAGAGGTAATTTTTTTTTTTTTAAGAGGCAGGGTCTTGCTAAGGAGTGCAGGCTGGCCTTGAACTTGCTTAGGTAGCACAGGCTGGCCTCAAACTAAGAGCAATTCTCCTGCTTCAGCCTCACAACTGCTGGGACAACAGGCATGTGCCACCATGCCCGGCTCAAAGAGGTAAATTTTACAGACAGAATGTAACTTTCATCTCAACAAAGTTGTTAAAAAGTATGAATTAAGGCATAAAATGGGTGGCTAGAGACAGAGTAAGATGGGAAGATCTGCAGGAGAGGTTCTGCACTTCGGCTGCAAAGACAGACCTGATGGTAAGCACACTTAGAGCTTCAGACACTAAAGCAGTTGTGCAAAGTGTTCTCGACCCTAGCACTCTAGGAATCAGGACTACAAATTAATTTCCCCATAAAGGAGAAAATCAGTTCTTTTTGGCTCCACTTCCTAAACACAGCCTTCTAAACCCAAAATAAAATTTGTCATCTGTATGATTAACTGATTAAGCCAAATCTTTCCCTTCTCAAATCTGTTGGTTCTAACAAGGATAACAACTCTTTAAATCACAATTTGGGGGAACTGCAGATAATCAACAGGCACACATATCGGGAAAATGGAGGAGATAAAGAATTGGGAGGATGAAATCTAAAGAAGGCCATAGACCCGACATTTGAAAAATTGCACTACAGTATAAATGCAGAATTAATTTTTTATAAAACCATACCTCCTATAAAAAGTCATCTTCTATGGCATTCCTTAAATTATTATTGGATGTAAAATGTAATCATCTGCTAATTATACATGAACGATAATTTTAATGCTGTGCCAACATTAAGAATCACTACCACTTCTTTTTCTGTTTCGTTTGTGAGGTAGGTTCTCACTTGTAATTCAGGCTGGCCTTGAACTATGTAGCCAAGGGTGGCCTCGAACTTCAGGTAATCCTCCTGCCTCAGCCTTCCAAGTGATGGGATTGCAGGCAGATGCCATCACGCCCAGCTTTCCATCACTTCTTATATTGTGTGACATGAAGTTATTTCTTGATACCATAAATGGTTTCAATTCTTAAGTGGTCTAAGTAACAATACCCACTGTAATAGGTGGTTGTGTGAAGGGCTATGTTCTAAGTATGTAAGTATTCAGCACTGCACTTGATACAGTGAGAACACAAAATTATTCCCCTACCTATGTGAAAGTAAACAATTTTGGCAGTGTCATCAATCAAACCAGATAAGGGCCCAGACAGGACAGTCTATAATAAGATGATCATTGCACTTAATATAATTATTGTACTTAATAAACCTAGGCAAAGTGGCTAAAATATTCGCAAGTGGCTAAAAAAGATTCACTAGTAGATTAACCAGAAAGCCATCCTAAATGAAAATCAACATGAGTCATGTTTTTTGTTACCTGAAAGAAATCACTGTATTTCTTTTCAAACTACAATTTAACCACCAATTCCAAAAGAAAATACAAAAGAGGATCTACTGCATTATGAGTTGTGTCTAGACGTTCCCCCAAAGCCTCATGCACTCATCCGCGGGAGTTGTGGAGGTGGTTGGGTCTAGGATGGGTGATGGATTAAAGTGTGTGATGCTGGAATTAAGGGGGAGTGATTACTACATTAGTCCACAATTGGTTTAACATAGTTTTGGATGTAGATAATGTTAACGTCCACCCTGGGTGGAAGAGGCGGCTGGGCGGATGTAAAAGCACAGAAACAAGGCAGCTCTGCTGCTGCTGCTGCCTTGCTTGCTACCTTCTGCCTGCCTTGCTATCCCATGTACGTTTTCTCCTCCTCCTTGTCCCTCCGCCATGTGCCACTCTGGCTTAGAGTAAGCCAGCTCTGGACTGAAACCTCTGCCAACTGTGAGCTAAATAAAACTTTCCCCCTTTAACTTCAGCTGTCCGGTATTCTGTCTCAGCAACGAGAAAAGTAAGACATATTAACTAGATTTTACCAAATTTAATTTCAATTCCAGCAATAAAAAAATGCTGGAATCACTGCCCTCTGAAGCCACTCGTTCCAAGTAAACAGGACTAGTTAGGACTGAGCGAAGACCTACCTACCCCTGCACCGCACAGACTACAAACGTGAGACCCTCCCACACGGAAACACAGCACCGCCGGCTTAACTCGCGGACAGCCGCCCTCACCTGGAGTCCGGCCCGGCAGAGATCGCGCCCGCGCACGGCGCAGCGCGGGGCCGGCCAGCCCGGGACGGGGCGCGCGTTACGTAACGGCCGGGAGGACGTCG